GCTGCTTGAGTGGCCTCACAACATGACAGCTAACTTCTCCCAGAGTGAGTGATCCAAGGCAGAGAAAGAAGAAAGCCATACATGCCTTTCTATGAGCCAACCCCGGAAGTTACACAGTCCCTTCAGCCATGGTCTCTCTGTTGGAAGTGAGTCACTAAGCACAACCACCCTCAAAGTGAGGGGTGTTTGGAAGGGAGGAGGATCAAAGAATTGACCGACATGCTTTAAAATCATCAAAGTGAGAATCAGCTGTGCTATTTTCCTTTGCTCTGGTTTGGCCAGAAAGACCTTATTAACCAGCAGAGGTACCCAGACATGGAGCAGGGTGCCTCACAGGTGATGTGGCCCCATCCTCAGGGGTGTGTAAGCAGAACAGAACTTGGCAGCTACAATACAGAGGGAATTTTAATATCAGCTTGGGTTTGCAACTCTGAACTTCAACTAGATAATTCCCAGACTCTTTCCTTTTGCCCACGTCTTCTGGACCACAAAGGAAAGGCCATCAGATTGATTGATCTGGTTGATCCCATCAGATGCACAAAGTGAGCTTCCTGAGGCCCATGGCACCTCTGCCCAGAATGGGGGTCTCAGAGCCACCCACTCAATTCCACCTAGAGCGTTGGTTGGTTGTTCATAAGTCAGCAAATCTGGTCATCTTCTCATCAGGCTGGTGATGCTCGGCCACAGGGAAACAAGAGCTGTCATAACTGCTGAAGGGTATGTCAGCGTTTATAGCCTCTTGGCAATTTTAACTCAGAGTTTGCCTGTCTTTCAACCCAGCCATTCCACCGCCCCATGACCAGCCTAAAGAGCATGGGCTCCCTCCCCTGCAAAGCCACAGCCACACTGCCTATAACAAGGAACACAGAAGCCAGCTCCTTGTCCATCTGTACCAGGGCATCCCGTGAAGTCGTTCAAAGAAATGAGGTAGTTCTCAGTGTGGCGACTTAGAAAGATCTCCAGAAAAAGTTAAATGAAAAAGGCAAGTTGCAGAACTGTGTGTACAATAGGAATCCATTTAAAGGAAAAAATTAAAAAGAAAAATCTGCGCATTTTTACTATCTACTTCATAGAAAAAAATCCAAGGAAACACACCCCACTGGCCTAGTGCTTACTCTGTGAAAAGTGGGTAGGATTGGGATTAGGGATGTGAAGGGAAGCTCTCTGACTTTATTCAATCAGCTTTAGTATCATTTGAATTTTAATAATAAGATTATATTTTTTCACATGTGATTGATTTCATTCTTAAGCACATCTGAAGGGAGAGGGATCAGAGTTCTTCTCCAGCCCCCTCTCCCCGGCTCAGCTGCCACAGTCTGCAGGGGCCAGTCCTGGCATGACCCTGGGGTTCTGCCAAAGGAGCTCCCAACTGCCCCTCGCCCACTGCCCAGGTGGCCTCCTGATTTTTTTTATGCCATCCAAGCAAGCCATTCATGGATTCACAGAATGCAGGTCCCAGAGACCTGAAAAGTCACAGAGCCTAAACCTTCTCCATTCATAATGACATGTAGGAGGCTCTCACAAGACACTATCAACCCTCTGTCCACACACTTCCAGGGACAGGAAGCTACGGCCTTCCCAGGCAGTTCCTTCCACACGCAGACACTACGGACAGTGAGACCACAATCCTGCACGCTGAGCCAAACTCCATCTGCCTGTAGCCCCTCTTATCAACCCTACCCTGGCCTTCAGAGTTCTCTCAAAGACACCCAAGTTAGGCAAGAACTAGCAAACTCTCGAGCAGAACTCCTGTGTTCAAATCCTGGTTCTGTTACCAACTAGCTCTGTGATTTGGGGGAAATTTGTTAATGCCTCTGTTCTTCATGGACCTCGGCTGGAAGATGAAAATTATAATAATAGTACAGATTCCACAGGTTTATAGGGAGGAGAAAGTGAGTTCACTTATGGAAAGTGCTTCTATGGCTTCACTTGGCACACAACGATCACTAAATCTCAAAATAACAGATCAGAGTTTTGATTCTGGCAGTGTCCCTATGGCCTCTTCTCTCATCTGTGAAAGGATTGAGGCCCTGAAGAGGGATAGCCTGAGAACGAAGCAAGTGTGATACTTCTTAAGATGTGTGCACATTTCTTATTTTACTCTTTAATGTAAAAATAATGGTTTTGGTCAAAGATTAACACTGGGAAGACTGGCCATGATTATCTAGTAGAATCCTGTATTTTCTCCAATATACCCAGACACATCTGCACATATCCCAGGCATACTGGACGCCTGTGTGAGAACATGGGCCTAGAGGATCCTCTGAAGTCTTTCCAGTGTCAGGTCAAGGTCAAGCCCTGGCTCTGGCATTAAGTGGAGGGAGCACGTTCCAGCTTCCCTCTATACATGGGTTCCGTTTACTCATCTCTAAGACAACGGACGGCCAGTTGCTGCCTGCGCTGCCTCCCCAGGGATGTAGGGAGGGTCAGTGGGGGAAGTTTGCATGGGGGTGCTCTGTGCTCTTGACTGAGTGGCACGGAGTGTCAGCTTTGCAGAAGCAGCCCTCACAGATGCTGGCAGCTCCTGCACTCAGGGGACACTGTGCTTTCTGAGATGAGTCCTCCTGAGTTCTAGCAGGGCTTTCCCGGAGAACAGCCTCAAGGAGAGGCCAGGCTTCCTACTAAGTGGGGTGGGTGGGGGACCTTCCAGTTCCTTCTTGGGCCCTTATATGGTCTCTATACTATCTGCCAGGCCAGGTGGGCCAGAGCCGAGGACTGTGCTGAGTCCTCAGAGGACAGGCCTGAGCTCTTCCAAGCTCTTTCAGGAGGCGTGACAAATGGGCAATGGAACTTTACCAGTGTCATTCTACCTGCCCAGCTTGGTGTTCCCAGCCCCATTTGAACCCAGACAGGCTCTGGTGTACTCATAAGACCTTGAAGGAGTTCTCCATCAAGCGCCTCAACTGAGGTCCCTGCTTGTCCCTTTGGATGGTGAGGTAATCTGTCTTCTCAGCCCTCCTGTGTTGTTGTGCGTCAACTATGTTCCTCCTTCCTCCATTCAGTTCCTTGACCTTGACCTGGAGGTATTGAGTACTATGTACTATCCAAGGGCTCACAGGCTAGGGAAGCCCCATGTAACATGATGATGGAAAGGTTCTACATCTGCACTGACCTAACTGCACAACTGAAATGTGGCCAGTGAGACTAAGGACCTGGGTTTCAAATTTTATTTATTTCATGATTTAAATTTTAAAATTTAAAAATTCCATTAAACAATGGGCCAAGGATCTGAATAGACATTTTTCCAAAGAAGACGTCCAGATGGCCAACAGGTACATGAGAGGATGTTCAGCACCACCAATTATCAGGGAAATGCAAATCGAAACCACAATGAGACATCACCTCATACCTGTCACAATGGCTAAAACGAAAAGAACAAGAAATAACAGTGTTGGTGAGAATGTGGAGGAAAAGACACCCCTGTGCACTACTGATGGGAATGTGAATTGGTGCAGCCACCATGGAAAACAGTATAGAGTTTCCTCAAAAAAATAAGAAATATAACTACCATATGATCTAGCAATCCCACTTCTGGATATTTACCTGAGGAAAACAAAAACACTATTTCGGAAAGATATTTGCACATCCATGTTCATTGCAGCATTTTTTTACAATAGCCAAGACATGGAAACAACCAATGGGTGAATACATAAAGAAGATGCAGTGTATATGTATCTGTACACATACACACACAGAGGAATACTACTCAGTCATAAAAAAGAAGGAAATACTTATGATCTCGCTTGTATGTGGAACTTAAACAAAAAGAGAAAAGAACCAAGTTCATAGACCCAGGGAACAGATTGGTGGTTGCCAGAGGTGATGGGGGAAGGGTGGGTGAGATGGACGAAGGGGGCCTCCTTGTCCTGGCTGGGACCCCAGGACAGTCTTGGTGAAAGTGAACATTCTTGTCTTGTTCCCGCCCTTAGGAGGAACATCTTTAAGCCTTGGTGTGATGTTAGCTTGTTCACCATGTCTCTTCAAATATCTTTAAGCTTATGTTTATTTTGTATTATCTTATTATATGTGGTAACAGGAAATTCAAACCATAAGTTACAAAGAAGAAAACAAAAACTCTCCTCAATCCCACCACCTCCAGGACACTTGCTGGCTTTTTCTAGGCATTAGGCATATATATGTGTACGGAAGATACATGTAACTTGACTTAAATATGACCTGTTTTATTACTGGGCTTTTTTTCTCTATATTGTCTTGTGGTCATCATTCAGGGCCTGTGACCAAAGATTTGCATCACCATCTGACAGCTTTCATGTTCTCATTTAAAGTTCAGCTATTATTTATTTGAGAACCCTCTCTAGATGAAGTTGCCTTCCTTTCCCCCCAGGATTATAAATAAGACTGATAAACATCCTCATTGTATCCTTCCCAACACTATATTATAGGTTCTCCTTTTCTTTTGTTTTCTTTCAGTCTTTGTCACTAGAGGTCTTGGGGTAGGGAACTAACATGATCAGAGGGAGAGAGGCTTTAGAAAACAAACTCTGGGCATTCCCAACTTACTGTGTGACCTTAGGCAAATCTTTTTCCCTTTCTGGGCCTCGACTTCCTCACTTGGAAATTGAAGGGATTCGTCAAGTGGCTGGTTACCAAACCTGGTTGTATATTGACATCACCTGGGAGTTGGAAAAACCACAGACACCTGAGTCTTATTCCCAGAGACTCTGATTTAATTAGTATGGAATAGAGCCTAGGGAGTAGAATTGTTCATTTCCTTCTGACTTGTTCATTTGAAGAGCCCTCCTGCTCGAGTTTTCTAGGAAAGATCTGTTCTTGGCATCTAGCAGGGCCTGGGTTCGAATCCCAGCTCATGCACTCCTGGCTGTGTGACCCTTTGCCTTCTCCAGACTTCCAATTCCCTGGTCTTGGTGGGGGGCGGGGAGAGTGGCTAAAATCCCCGCCCACCACGCCGGGTTCTGCTCCTAGAGAGGAGCTCCTGCACAAAGGGTGAGTGGTGACTGCTGTTCTTTCCTTCATCAAAGAGCCAGCCTCTGGGCAACAAAGTAGAAATGGAGATTGTGAGCATGTTGGAAAAGAACGCAACGCTTCTCAAATTTGGCTACCACTTTACCCAGCAGGGGCCCCGGCTGCGGGCCTCCAACGCCATGATGAACAATAACGACCTTGGTGAGTGATCCTGGGCTACCGGCCCACCTGCTGTCATTTTCCCACCCATCCAGCGGGGCGGGGTGCGGGGCGGTATGGCAGGGAATATTCCACTGATACCTTCTCCTCCTCTTGAGTCCCACTCCTGACTCTGACGTTCGTCACAACTCCTTGGTTTCTGTTCGTGCCTGGCCTTCCGCCTCCCCTGGCCTGTACGCGCTGCTTCGGCGTCCGGTGGGAGCTGAGGCTGAGCTCATTCCTTCCCGCAAGCTCAGCGCGCACAGGGCTGGAGCCCCATTGTGCCATCCACATCTTCTTTCGCTGCCTGAAAGGAAATGTGGCAGAGCATAGGCTCACTGGGAGTCTTTCCCTCTTCGAATACCCTTCCCGAGCTCAGGGTCCTCCCTCTCCCCGACCACCCAAGCATGGTATCTGGCTCTAGTCCCAGATACCCCAAAGCCACGGGACCAGCACACCTACCCAAACCCCAGGCCCAGCAACTTCATAGGGCTTTCAAGGTAAAAGCTTAAAATGGTGACTTCATAGAAAGTTAAGTCAGTTCCATTAATTTCATCTCAGTTAAAAGCATAGCTTATATTTTTTCTGAAAAGGAAAGGAAAGAAAATGTCACCATCGTTTTTGATGAGCGTGGGCCAAACAGGTATGCGAATTGTCCGGATGAAAAGTGCGGTTGATCATTGACTTACTTCCAGGTGCCTGTTGTTTTAAAGCTCTCCCAGCGTTTATGACTTGTATTCCTGCTGGCTGCTAAAAGGATCTGATACAATGTCCAAAAACGACTTTGCCTTCTGAGACTGTAGGGAAATAGGAGGAAAAAAACGAGAAAAGGAGTTGGTCTAATACATTAACATAATTGATCATCATATTTAGCTGTGAGTTTTCTCAACCAAGGCAAGAAGATGAACCAAGTTACAATACTCTTATTACAGAAGAGAAGGAAGCATAACAAGCTCAGAAAGAAAGGGAAAAAAGAAAAGAAAGGAAAGAGAGTTTCTTTCCGGGATTGAATTATGAAATGACTATGTTTTCGAAAGGACAGCGTCTTTGGTGAGCTTTTCATCGAATTCAAGCCTGTTCTACACGTGGGGTTTTTGTTTTCTATCACTCAGTAAAATGCAAAGGGTTTAATACTGAAGCACGTCTCAAAGTTCAGGTTCGTCACTTTCTAGTGATGAGTCTGAGGCTAAGTTATTACCTGGAAGGCCTGGAAGAATGGAGGGGAGTGTGTAGGTGCACAAGGCAGGTACTCACAGAACCTCTGCACAGATAACCACAGAGCTGTAAGCGCGCGCAGGCGCGCGCGCTCCCACGCACTTTAAATTGAGTTACTCAATTTAACAAGCATTTGTCAAAGTCCCATAAGGCAATATGGGTTTCTACTCTGGAGGATATCATAGTCCAGAAGTTATTCATTCATTGCCCACTCTAGGTGTCACTTTTTTCTAGAGCTGCAGGTCTAGAAAAGTCCATAAAACAAAGAAATACGCACCTAGTATCCAGGTTTATCTGACGTGCCCTTATTTGAAATAAGCACAAATAATTATGAATCATTATTATGGCATCACAGAGGTGAGGGCTGCACTGAGCTGTGGAGGAAGGCCAGCAGTCCAAACGCTCTGGGCTTGGCTGGGATCCAGCTTCAGAGCCAGCCCTCCAAAGCCCTGTGTTCTGATACCCATAGCCTCGAATTTTCCCCTCCCAGATTAGATGAAGCTTCAACTGTGCCCCTGGCTCCCTGTCCCAGGGCCAACGCAGCTTTTGTCTTCCAGTGGCAAAATGGCCTGGAGGCCTTTTCTAGGGACAGAGGTTCCAGATGACCAGGGGGTAGGGGTGCTGTGGTGGGGGAGGGGCACCAGAATTAGCTGTGGCCTGGATAACCTGGCCCTTGAGGACTCTTCCAGTCCTGAGGGTTTGTGCCTCCAAAACCCAGGCCTGACTCCTATCCCCAGCAGCTTGTGAGGTTACAGTGGCGGGGTCCTAGAGTGCCAGAGCTGGAAGGACTCTTCAGACTCCCCCCCCCCACCCAGTTCTCTTTTGGGGAAACTGAAGCCTGTGGGGGTGGACTGCCTTTCTAAGGGAGCAGCTCAGCCAAGTCCCACCCGTTGTTAGTTACAGCAGCATTTTGGGAGCAACTCTGGTGTGTCCAGGACTGTGCCAGGGGACGTAAAGGGCAGCAGAAAGGCTAGTTCTTTGACTGCAGAACCTTTACGGCCTTTTAGGAAAGAAAAGGCTCAAGGTGTGCCTGAAAATTCATGAATGCCTGCAGTGTGCCCAGTGTGAGGAAGTGACTTGAGAGGACTGAGGCTGGTTAAGCAAAGCATCCTCATTGGGGATGGGCTAAAGGGCGGGGTGGAGGGGAGGCTTTAACCAGCCTTGCAGGGAAGAGAGAGATTGGGGGGGTGGTCAGGTGTTCTCGGTGGGGGTACTAGCACAGGCAAAGGCAAGGTGGGAGGACCTAGTATTTCAGCTAGGAGAGACAGAAAAATTCAAAAGGAGTGGAGGGACTGTTAAAGGGAGTTAGACCTAGAAGGAAAAATAGGAACTCACAGAGAAGGGAGGGAAGGGCATGCCAAGCAGAAGGAACAGCATGAGCAAAGGCAGGACCAGGAGTTTGGTGATGAGAGCAGGTAGGAGGTAAGACTGACAGTTTCCTGGACAGGACTGCCAGGTGATCAAAATGGGCCTCAGGGTTAGCCCAGGAGACACTGCAGCTGTTCCCTTGGGGTTTCCCACCAAAGGCATTAGAGCAAAATTGCTTGCATGATTACACATAATATTGAGTGCTGGTGGGTGAAATAGGATTTCTAGCTTTAAAGGCCAATTTGTGCCCATCTGCTAAATTTTGTTAAAGAAACACTTCTGATTCAGATAGCGCACCAGCTTTCTCCTGCAAAAAAGTCCTTTCTTTCCAACACGACATTTTCATTCTGCTCGCAGGGCTCCGATGAGGCAGACAGGCTTCTGTGCTTTCCAGCTGCATGTTTTTATCCCGAGAGCCTCCGTGGGTCATACCTAGCCTCTGTGGTGGTTAGCAGAGTTCGCTGCTGCAGCAGGGAAGACAGGCAGGGCCCAGCCTCTCCAGCTTCTCACTCCAGCCTGCACCCTGCTGGCTCCTGGCTCGCAGACAGCCTCGGTGGTGGGTTTTGCCTGCCTGCAGGGTGGGTGGGCTCTTCCTTGGGGGCTGTTCAATCCCCATGGCCAGAGGTCAGCCTGTGCCTCTGCTTACGTGCAGCCTGCCGGGACCCATTCTGGCTGGCGTGTCTTCAGTCCTTCCCATCCTTTGCACTGAGCGGCCAGCTACACGGCAGTGTCAGGGAGGAACCGTGGGTCCCCATCTATGTTTTCGTATAGCGATACCTCAGATGACTCCTACCTCTACACTATTTATAGCTGAGAGGCTAAGCATGGCTCTCAGGTCCTGTAAATCTGCCTCCAAAGCTCTTTCCACTTAATGAACTCAGAATTGCCAGCTCCAACTTAAGACCGTTGTATGTGTGGAGGTGGGGTGGGGACCAGGGCTAACCTGTTTCAAAGCAGGAAACACCTGTTCCTGGGGAAGTCTCTCTTCTACTGTATTCTCAAGGAAGGCTTTTCTAAAATGCACCCCAGACACCATGCACCCCAAATCAATGTCATCATCATCCCCCAAAACTACTCATACAAAAGGTATTACTTTACTCACAGGCCTCCAAGCCCGAAATCTAGGCCTCTGTCTATATGCTGCTCCCATCCCAGTCAGTCAGCCCTCTCCGGGCCATCCCCCTTGCCCTGCCTCGTGCCAAGTCCTCAGCACATTCACCTCCTGTCCTGCAACTTCTGTGAGCCGACCAGCAACTCTCACGGAGCGCCCATCCCAGAGTTTGTTCTGTCACTTTGCTTAGTACCCTTGCTGGGCTCCCACATCCCTCAGTAGTCAGAGCTGATACGTACACCACGCTTCCTGAGTGCCAGGAGCTGCCGTGAACACTTCCTGTCTTACTTAACCACATGAGGCCCCCAACAACTGGCTGAGTGAGGTCCCATTACTACCCCCCACTCTGCAGGAAGGAAGTGGAGGTCTGGAGAAGTAGGTAAGGTTACCTACAGTCATGGGTGCAAGTGGGGTTTGCACTGCAGTCGGACCTCAGAGCCTCTGCCCCTGTCTCCCTTTGTGGTGAGGACATGCTGGGACTTCTTTGTCCCCTGACAAGCCATCCTCTCACCCCGTATTAGCACCAGCCAGTCCGGGGAGCTTGAGTGCCTCCCAGCGACCCAGGCCAAAGTATCCCTGTAGAGGGCACCTACTCCTAACCCTCCCCTTCCCTTCTCAGTCTGCCCCTTTATCCTTCCAGACTCGGTGCACCCGTTCCCTGCCGTCTTTCCGACCACTTCCTTCATTATGCCTCATATGCCTCCCTGGTAGAGAGCTACGAGGGAATGTATAGCATGTTCTCAAACTCACTGTTGGTATAGCTTGGTGCCGTTAAGCTAGATTACTTCTGATCCTTGTGCCTGGCATATAATAGTACTCGGTGAATGCTATTGAACATATAAGTGAATTTTAAATGCTTCCCAAAAATAAATAAATAAATACTTCCTAAAGACATGATAGAGGGGTTCGAGCTTGGTAGGAAGTGGTGGAAGGAGCTTGAGCAGCAGATAGAGGTTGGTCCAGACGACCCGAGATTCCTTCTGGCTCAGCGAACAGGTCTGGCCATTGCAGTGATAAGGATTTTGCTTTAATGGAAGTAAAAAGCAGATTGAATTGAAGGAAGATGTTGGGAGACCTGGGCTTCTGCTTCTGTCACTTATTCCCTGTGACTTGGGCCAACTTACTTCCCTCTCTTGGCCTCGATTCCCTTCATCATTAAAATGGAGAAGAAAGGGGCACCTGGGTGGCTCAGTTGGTTGAGCAGCTCTCTTTGGCTCAGGTCATGATCCCGGAGTACCAGGATCGAGTCCCACATTGGGCTCCCAGCTCCACGGGGAATATACTTCTCCTCTCTCATGCTCTCTTACTGTCTTTCAAATAAATAAATAAAATCTTTAAAAAAATGGAAAAGAGTAACACCTAAGCAGGTGGCTGCCTTGCACTTTTCCGCCATCCGGTCCCCATGAGAGCCAGGGCTACGGGAGCTGTGGGGCTTCTGCCCAGGGTACACAGTGAGGGCACGTGGTGGGGAAAAGAAACCTGGGATCCCTGTCTGTATCCTGAACCATGGGCTGGAGACTCAGGTTCCCATCCTGATTCTGCCGCTAGCTCTTAAGGGGTTCTCACTCCCTTTTGTTCTCCAGGGAAAAGGAGTGGATGCCCTTGTGAGAATCAGTTGTGTAGGCCCTATGTAGACAGTCCCCAACTGTCCTGAGGGAGGTGCTGGGCTGAGGCTCCAGATGAGCTACACACCCTGGGTCTGTCTAGGACCAGCTTTACTGCTTTGGGCACGAAGTGTAGCCTCTCTGCCGTACTTTCCTGCTCCGTAATGTGAGAAAGATAACAATGTTGACATTCCAGAATTGGCGGTGGCGTGGCTCCGGTGAGGTTCTGGGTGTAGAAGAGGTGTAATGAGGACCGCCCTGTGGGGCATGCTTGCATAGCTAACGTGCCGTTACTTACATGTCTGGCTCATGTAAACTCTCTGGTCACTTTCGACGAAACTTCTCTGTTCTTCGGGTTCTGGTTTTTGTTCCCTGACCTTTTCTCCCAAGCTGCTGGACGTTCTGATGGTGTCCAGGGCCTAAGCTGGATGCAGTGTCTTCTCTCTAGGAAGACAGCCCACTGATTTGCATTCATTATTCTCTGACGGGGTGGAGGGGTGGGTAGCTCAGGGACAGGCTGAAGTCCAGCCCCAGTCTGGGTGAGCTGTGTGCTCCGGCTCCCAGCCACAACCCCATACCACCCCTTCCCAGGAACTTCTGCTCTGTTATGCTCTGTGTCCTGCACAAGCTGACCAGGTTCTTGGTGCAGCTCGCATGCAGCGATCTGGTGGCCGCAGGTCTACTGGCTCAGCTCGGGAAATGGAAGACATCTAAGTACAGACAGACTTCTTTCCTCGGCTGCCACAGCCACCAGCAGCCTCCTTGACTGCCACCTACCGGTTCTCCGGACTTTTTTTTTTTTTATTAAAGATTTTTATTTATTTATTTGACAGAGAGAGATCACAAGTAGGCAGAGAGGCAGGCAGAGAGAGAGGAAGGGAAACAGGCTCCCTGCTGAGCAGAGAGCCCGATGCGGGGCTCGATCCCAGGACCCCGGGATCATGACCTGAGCCGAAGGCAGAGGCTTAAACCACTGAGCCACCCAGGTGCCCCTCTCCGGACTTTTTGACCTTTCTCTTGGGGCGGATCTAGCCGGCTCCTTGGTCTGCATCTGCAGACACTGAAATTCATTTCAAAACACTCTCCCATGTGACAAGGGCCCCCCTTCCCCCTCTCCGTCACCCTACATGTAACGACTCCAGCCTGCAACCTTCTGGCTTGTGCTTTCCTCTTTATGGCATTTAACGACTTTGTTAAGTGAACAGTGTTTGAGCTTCTATTGTCTTGCCTCTGAGAAAATGTCAAGGTTAACACTAAGGGGACACAGATACTGCAGGGTAATCTTCAAGGGTGGAAACTTTTTTTTTTTTTTATAAGACAGGAGGCAGGCCAGGAACTCAGAAGGAGCTGTGGGAAATGATTCCAGCAGGTTAAGACCCTACTCTCATTACCATCAACTGAACTTTGGCCTTTATCTGAGCCTCCGGGAGGAAGGATCTTCAACTGCAGGGCCTCTGGTGTAAAAGCAAACACAGTGGAGGCAGATAAAGCGGGTTTTACGCCTGTGTGGTCAGAGGCTTAGCAGTAGTTTATGAATGAGTCAACACGCAGCCCTCATCAGGGAACGCTGACCAGCAGGAGGGCCCTTACACAGCTCACACATAACCATCCTTTAGAAACAACAGATGTTGGACCTTGCTAACCGAAAAGTTAGAGAGAAGCTTCCTAGGGCTTTCTCAGAGCCACAGAGGTGGTTCCCAGAGCATAGGGTCAGCTGGCTTATTTCTCATCTCCATTCCTTTCCAGTGAGGAAGAGGAGGCTCGCAGACTTGACCGGGCCCATCATTCCCAAGGTCCGAAGTGGCGTCTAGTGTGTGGCGGGGAGGACGGCGCCTTTGAACTGCACATGTCCTACTGATCATCCGTGCTCTGCAGTGGAAACCAGAAGGCAAAATGCCGGCACAGAACCCTTTCGGGGTTCAGTTCTTGATGCACTAAGGTTTAGGTTAACTAATGGTTGTAGTTGAAAATTTTATAAACTATGGTTAATGTGAAGTTTTTCTTTAGTCACAGAAGTTCAGTCTGGTTATTATTTAAAAACTAAGAAGACCCCAAACCGACAGATCTTACTGAAGTTGTTCTAGCAGCAGGACTTAGCCCTGGGAGCCCAGTTTTTGTGGCCTCACTGCGTAGTGTTTCAGGGGTATTTAGCATGTGTACCACAGGAACGAACAGCCCACTCTTCCGCGTGGCTGAGACGCGTTAAAAAATACTTTATTATGAATTTGATTTTAGTATTTAGCAAACAGATCATCGTTCTCTAGTAACCCTCCTTTAAATTTGAAGAACCTCAAGATTAAAGTTGCCAAATTGATTCCTGGGTCAGGAACACAATTCTGCCCTTCAAGAAAGAGAGATCGAAGCCACAGAGCTCTGCCAGGAATCCAGGAATGTGAGATTCCTTTTGCTGGATGCGAGGAAATGATGAAAAAGCCAATGGTGAAATTTCAGGTTTCAAAAACCGTCCTTTCTTTACCAATCCCAGGCAACAAACATTTCCCTGAGTGTTCTTTACGAACATCTGGGATTTATTTACAATTTGATATTGGAATCAGAAAGAATTTTTTCCTTACTGACTGTCATCCGCAATGATGTGAAAACCTATGGCCAAATACTTGAAAACACCCTTCCACATTGCACGGTGGTCCGATGGCTAACGTGAGGTAAAACACTAGAGAAATTTCTAGTCCATCGCGGCTATGCTTACAGATTTCAACCATGTGTCACGACACTCATTAGACAAGTCACCACTGATCTCATGCCTGTAAAGAAAGCCTCTGAAGGCCAACGGTGAAGAAAATCCAGATATTAAAGAATCAGGAAACCCTGGCCAAACCATCCCAAGATGATGATTCTGAAAACGTAATTATGGTGTTTCTGCCAGATCCCTTTTTAACATCATGTTCATCTCTTGGGATCCAGCAAAAATGTTAAGCCACTATGCCCTTGTGCCTTTTAATATACCACAGTGCCAGTTAAACTAGCATGTCTGTTGCTTGGGAGTTATTTTCCTGAGTGATTCAGCAAATCTTATGATAAACGACAGGCCAAAGATCTGATAAGCGCAAACCAAGCTGCAGAGCACTGAGCAGAGGCTTTTGAAGAGAAAGGAAAAGTCTTGCACACTAAACTGTAACGATGCGGCCAGTGCAGGGTAACTGGAGGTGCAGCCAGGGCCTCCCCGAGATGCAAGAGTGTCTACTGAGGCTGCGGGCGGGCCGGGAGTGGCACCACGCTGCTGGGATGGCCAGCCCCACTAGGCTTCTTGAAACACAACTGCGGCTGCATTCTGCATCACTGGAAACTGCAATATAATATTAAATCTGTTGGTCTATGGATGGTCGTGTATGTGTTTCTTGTGGCTCGTGTGACACGGACATGCACCTGACACATTGGCCAGAGGCCGGGAGACTACCCCAGCAGTGCCGAATGGCCTCACTCCGAATGTGTTTATATCCTGGCACGTTCACGTCCAAACTGCCCAAACATCAGGGTCCTCAAGCTAATACGAATCTCTCAAAGACTGTACTTAAAAGCTAAGAGTGTGGGTACTGGGGGGAAACAGGGACTCTTAGGGGGAGATTGATCAGAGAAACCGAATCAATAAAATAATGACGGTGGGCCACCTTTCAGATCACCTGCTCCATCGGGTGAGCTGCTGGGTTTCGACCAGGGGATGGCTATTTTTTTCCGTAAAGGGGCCAGATCGCAAACGTTTTTGGCTCTGCAGGCCATATGGTCTCTGTTGTAACTACTTAATCTGTCACAGGTGGTATTCAAATGAACGGGTGTGGCTACTCCACTAAAACTATTTACAAAACCAGAAGGCCAGTCAAATGCCCTAATCTGCAGATCCTGATTTAGGGATGAGGGTAGGAGCGGATGGTGGGTGATGGTAGGTAGCAGGAATGGCCTGCTTCTGAGGAGTCCCCCTCCAAGGCCATAGCTTTCGTGCTTTTGCCACCAGGATCAACCGGTCTGCTGACGAGACAAGTAACTATGACCAGCCTGCTGCATGGCACAGAAAGGGCATGACCTGGTCACCAGGCTCAAGGCTCTCTCCCCCAGCAGCACTGGGATTCTACACAGCTCACCTTTTCCTGTGTTCAGGCATCTTCTGAGTCAAATGTCTCAGGTAAGTTGTCAGCACCCTACCCCCTCTTCCCGGCCCCTCTGAAGCTTAGGTGGCCAATATGGTACCCAGTTTACGATGCTGGCAAAACCAGCATTCAAGTTCAAGTTTTTTTGCTGCTGCAGCTCTGATATTTTCCAATGTGTGGTCACTGTGAACTAGCTTTGTGCAGGCCTGGGGAAGTGCTGCTTCTGCTCACATATGCGTGGCCCATCCTCACCAATATCTGGCCTCGGTTTGGGGCTCACAGGGAGCCGCACCTGCCGCGGCAGCTCGTTGGGTATGCGTGGCCGTCGGGCAGTACACTCACATTCCTCTTTAAAGCTGTTCTGGGTGGGACTCAAAGCCAACCTCCTCCCTTTGTCTTGACATGTGACACAACAGGCCGTGAATCCTTGTTTTTGGCAAGCAGGGCAGGTCAAGATGAGCTGGCGGCACTGGGGAGTTGAGCAGAGTTTATACTGGTCCCATGGGGCTCCACAGTATGAACATTCTGGGGAAGAAAGAAAAGTCCCAGTTCCAAACACATACACGTGTACACATGTAGACAGGTACTTCTCCAGGTCCTAAAGGTAACTCTTAGCACACGAGCTAATATACTCCATTAGGCCAGGGAAGGTTTCTAAAGAGTAAGTCTCCTGTCCTCACCCCCACTATTTGGGGGTGGGGGAGTCATCTGGGAACTGTCTTCCTTTTTTTTTTTTTAAAGATTTTATTTATGTATTTGACAGAGATCACAAGTAGGAAGAGGCAGGCAGAGAGGAGGGGAAGCAGGCTCCCTGCTGAGCAGAGCCTGATGCAGTGCTTAATCCCAGGACCCTGAGATAGTGACCTGAGCCGAAGGCAGAGGCTTTAACCCACTGAGCCACCCAGGCGCCCCTGGGAACTGTCTTCCTGATTGCAACATTCTGTGACTCATTTTTTTTTTTTTCCTATTTAGAAAATAGGAAACAAGGATCTTCTTTTTTTTTTTTTTAAGATTTTATTTATTTATTTGTTAGAGAGAGAGAGAGAGAGAGAGCATGAGCACAGGCAGACAGAGTGGTAGGCAGAGGCAGAGGGAGAAGCAGGCTCCCTGCCGAGCAAGGAGCCCGATGTGGGACTCGATCCCAGGACGCTGGGATCATGACCTGAGCCGAAGGCAGCCGCTTAACCAACTGAGCCACCCAGGCATCCCGGAAACAAGGATCTTAACCAGAAGTTGCAGAATTGATAGTTCTGTGTGAATTTGGATGGGAAAATAATTATCTTTATTTTCACCACCCCACACCAAATGTAGCACTTCCTTTGATTGTTAATGTCAGCAACAGATCAGTCCCATGTCAATATTCTTCATTCCAAAGCTGGTCAACTACCCCTTAGTTCAATGATCCTGTAGATCATTCCCCTTTCTCATGGGAGATAGCATATGTGAATACAAATGATGCCACACCTATATTCAGCTCCTGCAGTCCACACCCCTCCTCCCCAAGCCTGAGGTTCTCCTGCTTTTGCTAACTGACACCTGACTACCCGATTCCTAAAAAAACTCCCATTATCTATTTTCTCAGCCCATTTTTCCCAGCCGACTTTCCGTTAGCAATGACAAAAACATCATTCTTCAAGTCTCCTCAACTAGTTTTATCTAAACTACCTTTGGGCCTTCCCTCTTGCCTTCACACTCACATGCAAGTACCCATCAAATCCTGCCAGCATGTCCTCAGTAACATTTCGCAAATCCACTATTTCTACTTATTTATAATTTATACTTCATCTAGCTCCAAAATAGACTTTGTGTAGCTTTCGAGACACAAATACAAGATAATTAAAATTAATTAAGAAATCAAGAAGAAAGGGGAGAAGGCAATCATACTCAAATCTTATTCGTTATCACAGTGGTAATTCAATCTTAGACCCTGATCACAGGAGTTCTAGAAAGTTACAGCAGCCACTAGGGTTTTCTGCCTATGACCTTTCCTGTTTAAAAAACTATGGCATCCAGGCAGAGCCAATTTTCTTAAGGATTATTTCCATCCTCCTTTTACTGACCTCATCTGGTACCCCCACATCGGTGAGGACTTAAACTGGAGTCAAAGCATAGGCCTCTTGAGCTCACACCCTCCTGTGGCCACCCCTGCCTCTGGGCTTGGCCCTGGGTTCAGCTCCCACCTTGGAATGCCCCGGCCACCATTGAGAAGTACCTAACCTACCACATGTGTCTACAGACGATATGAACTGGAGGTTCTTAAAATACACTGATTACAAAGGAAGCCAATTATATAGAAATACAAAATACAAAACATTTTTAGGAATCTATGATATAGGTAAAATATTTATTAACACATTAAATAAATAAGGCAGGGGTGGGGGCTATAACTACTTCCACTTTGAGACAATGATGAGCGTAAATGCTATTGGGAGAAGTCTGCAGCAACTGTAATACATGAAACTACGGTGGTTTCTGTTGATGGTGAAGTCACTGGTGCATCTAATATTATTGATTTGTTGCTGACATTAATAAGCACAGGAAGTGCTACATTTAGTGTGGGGTGCTGAAAATAAAGATATATTTATTTTCCCATCCAAATTCACACAGAACCGCCAAATTCTACAACCCCTTGTTTCAGCCTATTAGTTTAACTCCCAGCACATAGGCAGAGCAAGTGACCTCGTCCCCCCTATAAAAGACTCGCCTAACTGGCAAACGGGGAAGCCAGGACTCAGGACAGGCCTCCCTATTCCTGATCCAGAATTCTATTTCACTGTTACATTGCCAACTCTGCTGGGAAATTGGTCATACTATGTTATTTTTTTTCCCTGTTTTCTTCTTCACATGACCAGTACTGGTCTGCCTTCCAGAAGGGTTCATACACAGAACATGCCTGATGGTGAGTCTAGGGCCCAGCCTGTGCTGACCTACCTGACACTGTATCACTGTTGTAGGATAAGGCATAGCGCTCAT